GTTAAGGTCTTCTCAATACCATGCATATTATAGTTCATGATGAACTGGTCATATGCCGGAGTGAGTGATGCGAGAATCACATCAGTAGCCAACTCTTGACTAATTGGAGATCCAAGTTTTTCCAGGTGATCCCTAAGCCCAATCATCTTGAGCACGTGAGGTCCAACAGGGTTTCCATCAGTAAGCCTTGTGTGAAACAAAGCTTTGGTCATCTTGAACCTTTCGATCTGTGCTTGTTTCTGAAACAAGTTCTTGAGTTCATTAGAGATGTCATGTGCACGACGATTCAGAAACTGTTTCTGAAGATTAGCTTCCATGATGGTTAACATCAGACAAGTGACATCAACTTCATCACGGACATGCCTTTCATAAGCGTCTCTAATGGCTCTAGCAGCATTGGCCACTGGTTCAGCAGGAATTGGTTGGTCAAGGACATATTCTTTACGCTCTTGTTTGAGAACGATTCTCAGATTCCTATCCCAGTCCATGTAATTTGTTCCATTAAGTTTTTCCTTCTCAAGGATAGATCGCAGTGAAAAAGTTGTGTTGGCAGCCATATTTACTACAACAAATAATGCAAAGAATTTTTAAATAACGCTCAAAAATTAACTCCCACTATATTAAATAGAAAGTCCCAAATATAGTGGTCCAAGATCCATATTTCACTAAAATTTAAGTAAGCTTTGGCTTATCACTTAAAAATTAGTTATTTAGGTAAACAACTCTTGTTAATCATATCCTATATGACTCTTGGTTTGTTTGGTCAACATCATTTGATTATCCAAACACTCATTGCTTCAAGGCCCAAAACCATTTTGATGGCCTTGTAAGTCCAACCCAATATTAAGACCCGAGAATGACGATCATTCATAACATCTTTCTAAGATAGTGTGAAATGCTCTGCTTTGGCAGACACATATCACGACTAGCATAGTTTAAATGGTGGTCATATTGGGAAAGCAATTTTAGACTTATAATTAGTCGGGACTAATAATTACACACATGCAGCAATCAAATATTTAAATAAATAATTTAAAACTAGTGCAGTGATATAGCATGATCCCAAAATCTTCATATCTCCTTGACATCTTCAACCTGTGTAGTGTACTACTAAAAATCTACGGGGTTGTAAAACATTACAAGGGATAGTGGGAAACGGCACGCAGGCCGTAAAACAACATAATATAAAACATACATTCAGATCATGCTATACCACCACTTCAAACTGTCCCTGTGACGGAGCAAAATAATTGCGCATGCACGGATTGAAAATTAAATTTTAAAATCCGCAACTAATATGTAATTAATTCGGATCTCATCCGGAAAAAAAAAACATATTCAATGAATTCTAAAACAATTCGTATTACATATGCACAAATACAGATCATATCTGTAATATAGATTAATACACATATATAACTACGAATAAAAATTAATAAACTAAAATTAATTTGTGATTAAATTCGAATTTCCCAGATAACATATCAGTAATATAGATTAATTCCAATATGTTATAATATGGATCTCATCCCAACTAATTTTGTATTCTTCGATCTGAACTAATTTGGCAGATCACTAAATTTGTATAATTGAAGAATAAATTTGTAAAATCAATTCGGATCTCATCCGAAAAACAAGAAGCTAAAACTTCCAAGATTAGATCTAAAAAATATAAACTAGATCTAATTCAATCTTTTATTGATTTCAAATTGGGAAGTCAATATATAACACATTCCGAATTTGATACGAATGAAGCAATCTATATTCGGAATAGTTATACACAAAATTATTCCAATTATACAACTTGATAGTATATAACTAGTTATATATGAAGCAATATATAACATAAATTATACTAGTTATAACTAGTTATATACGAAGCAAAATAAACTTGGTATCAAAGTTATATACGAAGCAATATATAACTTCGTATCAAAGTAATATACGAAGCAATATATACCTAGTTATATTCGGAATCTGAAACATAAATTATAAGTATCAAATTGGATCTAATTCAAACTCTTGAATTTTCATGTCCATTCAAATCTCTTCCGAATAATTAGGTTGTAGGATTCCATCCAATTCCTAATCTATTCAGATCTGATATGTAAAATAAATATTATCACAAAACATTCCAAATATTATTGTGAATATATATTGGATCAAGTTCGAATCATTCGAATATCACATCCTTATAAAATTTCGGAATATAACATACACATATAAATTCCGAAATTAATAAATCAATAATTTCGAAATTAATAAAAAATTAATTCCGAGAATAAATCCCAAAAAATCAAATTATAGATTATACATCAAATCGTGTAACCCGAGTATAATAAAGAACCGTAGGCTCTGATACCACTGTTGGGTTTCGGGTAGAAAAACGCAGCGGAATAAACAAAAATTTTACTACCCAAAAGTAAACAATCGGATCTGAGGTTCATATTATAAACGAAATTACAAGACATAAGAGGGACTTACATAGTAATCTTAATCAAGGATGTCAGACAGTCCGAGAAAACGATCCCGAGCTCTACCGGTATCCACACGCACGTGACTGGATCGGCCGCAGGGAACGTGCTAGCGTTCTCTTCTTTCTTCCTCTCTACTCTAGGTTTGAGAAGTGAATTTTAACTCATAAAATTCGTGGGTCTATATGGCCCTATTTATAAGAGGAGTAAAGAAGGGGTTTTATGGCTAATAAAATCCTTAAAGAGGCCCTAGCCCAATACCATTCGAAAACCTATTTCGAATTGGGCTAATCAAGCTATTTTAATGTTATTAACAAACATTAATGATCCAAATCACTTAGGTGTGTGACCCTGTAGGTTTATATATTATTGGTAGTGGGCTAGAAATTAATTCGAGCCTCACAAATCATAAGCGGCCTCTAGCAAGGCATTATGACTATCCAAAAATATATAAATGTCAATTAAATCTGACATAACCTTTTAATGATTAATTTGTGCTAACAATTCTCTTTTGTCAAACGATATCTTAATTGAGACAAGGTTAGGTCGTGTCATCCTTGTTATTCTCAATTAATATTTCTTGATTACCAAGTAAGATTAATCTTGATCAAATGACACCTCATTTGAGCATGGCCATGCTAATTAATCTTACTTGTCAAGGGGTCCAATAGATATCTTTCTCTCGATGTACAAGAGTGACAAAAACTATCTTGATAATTCACATACTACTACATGGTTCATAATATGTACAATCACCACCTTTATAATTACCCAGTTAAAGATAACATTTAATGGTGTTAATACATATTAATTCTCATGCTAGTAACCATGATTATCTCAAGTATAAGAATATAGCACCTCATCATTATTGAGGACAACACTGATGACATATAACCTAGCAGTGTCCTCAAGTTGGGTCTATCCAATGAACTTGTTCCCTAACAAGCATCTATGTTATTAACTTGATATCTCTATACCCATGACTAGTGGAATATAGCCATCAGTTAATCCACATACTGGTCTATTAATTATTAATGTCCCAAATTAATAATATTAGACCAGGGACAATAAGAATATTATGTTTATTTTAAAGTGTAGCATTCCACAATTAAGTCACATACTTAATTAGCTACTAAACAGAATATTCAGGGACTAAATATTAATAAAGAAAACTCACAATAATAATTAACATAAAATGAGTTTGCAACTTTATTAATTAATGAGCATTAAATATTTATTGATAAATCATAAACTATGATTGTCCTAGGGCATATTTCCAACAGGCACCATTATCAAAAATAAAGCAAGACTAGTAGCCAAAGGCTACTGCCAAGAAGAAAGAATAGATTTTGATGAAACTTTTGCTACTGTTGCCAGACTTGAAGCAATAAGAATATTCCTGGCTTATGCTGCTCACAAGCAGTTCACTGTCTATCAAATGGACGTGAAGAGTGCCTTCCTAAATAGTTTACTAGAAGAAGAAGTCTATGTTGAGCAGCCACCTGGATTTGAAGTCAACAGAGAGAAAGATCAAGTCTACAAATTGAAGAAGGCTCTCTATGGACTCAAACAAGCTCCAAGAGCATGGTATGATACTCTCTCTCAATATTTGATTAATTGTGGAATAGCTGACACCTTAATGGAAAGCGATATGTATATACTTAAAAGCTCAATATAAACTTCGTATAAATACTTAATGGCCAATAGGGCCGCAATTGGAATTGGAGAAAAATCCTTTTGGCGACGTATTTGCATTTTGGTGAAGCTCGATAAGTATATACAAGTATATATATGCACCTTACATTCAAAGAAGGTGGGGTGATTTTCAAAAACCACATGGATTGATTCTTCTACCACCAGAGTTCTTTTGTTGAGGATCCGGAATGCCTTGCTTGTTGCTGAGTAGCCCAGGAAGATGAACATGTGAGGGGCACTCTGGACCTCAGAAAAGATGGAAAGTGAGGGGCACTCTGGACCTCAGAAAATTATATACTCCTTCATAACTTTCCTCAAAGTTGAGGTTATTTACTAAAAAGCGAAGAAGCAGTTAGAAACACCTCTAAACAAGCATCTAGCTTTCAGTTTTTTTTTAAGTTAAAAACTGAGAAGCACTTTTTTTAATCTGTTGCGAACCCTCCCTTAAGAAAATAACTATAGCATCTCTTATGATGATTTGTTCTTGGGAGATGGCTATAAGGGTGAGTGGATATTGTGTGTGTTTGTGATAAGTGAGAGTCTGAGAGACAGTCTCTTAATCTGCATTCACTTCACTTGCTTATGTGCGTGTGCGGTTTGGTTTAAGGAGAGGCTGCTGCAGACTGAGTATGGCCAGTGCAATGGCTGGTGCACTAGCCTGTTGGGAGGTTTAATGATGCTGTTTTTCTTTTTTCTTTTTTCCATAATAAAGCAAACTATATCATGTATTGCTTCATCCTTTGCTTGCCTTATTTGAATACTTACTGACAACAGAGCTGTGTAAATGGTGAACCATGTTTCCCTGCTGATAATCTTCTATGTTGCACCTAGACATTCACCTTCGAGTCCAACTCAGACAGAGGAAGATGACGAGTTTGGAACTGATGTACACCACTATTGCGCTAAAATGGCATTGGAATATTATAACAAGAAAAATGTATGTAACCTTTAATGATTTGAAATGCCGTTGTATATTTGTATCATCCGTTTTGCTTATTTACTTCTTCAGGTTCTATTCTTCTTTGCTTTACCTTGTAGCTGTTGGCCTTCAATGTATAATCACTTGTCCGTATTTAATTTGCAGGGGAAGAGGTATGAACTTGTGGAGGCTGGGTGTAGTTCTGGCTTTCTAGCTCCTGGCATCTGTTTTCACAGCAACTTCAAGGCTAGGCCATGCAGGAATACCTGCGGAGATGGGAATGAGAAGACCTCCACCGAGCTCTTCTTTGCTGAGATTCATTTTGACTCTAAACTCCGAAGAAATATTCACTACAAAAAAACACGCGTGTAGTCACGGAGCGTAGTCACGGATTTGGTCCGTGACTAGTTTAGTCACGGACTAGTCACGGACTAGTCACGGAAATTTAAAAAAAAAAATAGTCACGGTCCAAGCCGTGACTATGGCCGTGACTACATTTAGTCACGGTCGTGGCCCGTGACTTAAATCCTCCGATAGGATCTTTTCCGTTTCCGGCGAAGTTTATTTTATCCCGATGACTTAGTTACGGCCACATCCGTGACTACAGCCGTGACTATGATTAAAATTTAATTTTCCACCTTCCTTAACTTAATTCGCAACGGTATTATGTACGGATAACTTTAGTCACGGCCATGTCCGTGACTAGTTCCGTGACTACTTTGATTAACACGTCATTTACACGTCATTAACACGTGTTGGACGCGTATTGGACACGGTTTTGCTTAGTGACAGACAAATCCGTGACTAAGTCCGTGACTAAATTTTTTATATATGCAGGAGAAGCTCATTGAACAGAACCACACCAATTCATTCCCAGTATATACAGTATCCGTTTGAAAGATCGAAGGATGTAGTCTATCTTCTATCATTTTCCCTGTTTATGCAGATAAGGTATGTTATTTGAATTATAATTTTTATTTAGAATTAGTTGGTTCAATTTAAATTATTAAAACTATTAAATTAGTGAGGTTGTTAATTAATTAACAACATGTTTTAACTATAAGCGTAGTAATGTCATAAATTAGAATTAGTTAAACTTTTAGGTTTATAAAATAATTTAATTAAAATTAGTTAGCTAAATGTAGTTTAAAACGTAATGATGTTTATGTTAAGTGAAATTAGTTCAAATAACGTACATTAGTAATGCGTTAATTAAGTGAATTGTGAATTGTTATTGTGAATTGTGTATTGCTTATTAATTCAAATGACTTTATGTACATGTTCAAATTATTGGGTTGAATTTGGTCATATTATTTAATTTAGTGAATTGTTAATTGTGTATTACTAATAAGATTAAATGTCATTAACGTAATAATTTAGTGTAGGTTTAAACGTAGGTTTACAAAAATAATTTAATTAAAATTCGTTTGCTAAACGTAGGTTTGAACGTAGCTATTGATGTGTTAATTAAGTTAAATTAGTTAGCTAAACGTAGGTTTAAACGTAGTGATGCATTAAAAGGGGACGGAATGAACTAGTTAAATTTAGTTAAATTTAACTAAATGAATTAGTTAAATTTAGTTAAACGTATGTTTAATTTAGTGAAATTATGTGCATTATTGTGCATTAGGGGACGTATATTTTGTGCATTATTGTTGTGAATTCTGTGCATTTCATTTGATTTAGTGAAAATTAGTTGATTATTTAGTGAAATAAATTACTTAAAATTGTGTGCATTGCATTTCATATAATTTTTTATTATAATATTCAGGCATAATGTATAAACAAAATAGAAGTTGGATGTATGATAAAGATGCGGTATTGTACGGAATGCAATCAAATTTTCTCGAGGGAGTCGGGGAATTTATTGAATTTGCACTTGAACATCCGGCTTATATGAGTGGTGATAAAATAAGATGTCCATGTTTAAAGTGTAAAAATCTCAAATTTAAAGACCCACACGAAGTTGGGTATGATTTGTACGCGGTCGGTTTTGTTCCCAATTATTATAATTGGACTTCTCACGGCGAACCTTTGGATCCATCTGTTATACCACAAACGGTAGGTTCGTCTCGTTACGTCCCTCTAGAGATGAGTGCGTGGGGAGACCGTGCTGAAATGAGGTGGGACCAACAAATGGTATATGATGCATACGGTGTACCGTCTCAGTTCAACCCCCCACAACCACCTAACGACCCCCCTGAAGCCTCAACCTCGTATCAACCAGATGCGGATGAAAATCCGACATTTTATCAACCTTATGTGGATGAAGGTTTGGCTGAGAGATTTCAAGATGTTCTAAAAGCTGCCGACCAACCTCTGTATGCTGATTGTGAGGGATACTCTCAGCTATCCGCTGTTACTGAGTTCATGAACATAAAAGCCGAATACAGTCTCCCTGAAACTTGCATGAATAGAGTCTTGCAGTCAGTAGGAGGGATGCTACCGCGAGATCATACCCTTCCCGATTCATATTACCACATGAAGTAGTTAATGTCTAAGTTGGGGCTACCTTGTGTTGAAATTGATGCGTGCCCGGAAGGATGTATGTTGTTCTGGAAGGAGGATGAGGCACTTGAGTTCTGCAAGTTCTGTGGTGGAGACAGATACAAACCTGTTCGTCAAGGTAAAAAGAAACCACGACATAGGTCTGCACTGTCTAAACTGTATTACCTCCCAATAGCTCCTCGACTGCAAAGGATGTACGCTTCGACTGCTACTGCGAAACACATGACATGGCATGTTGAGCACGAAACCAACGAGGGTATGATGGCTCACCCTTCGGACTGTGAAGCCTGGAGACACTTTGACCGCTGTCATCCTCAGTTTGCTATGGAGCCACGAAATGTGCGGCTGGGATTGTGCTCAGATGGATTTGCTCCTTTTGGCAGGTTTGGCAAGAACTATTCATGTTGGCCGGTCATGTTAACTCCTTACAATCTCCCTCCCGACATGTGCATGAAAAGTCATTTCATCTTTTTGTCTTTAATTTGTCCGGGTTCCAAGGATCCTGGGCGAAAGATAGACATTTATCTCCAACCCCTTATTGAGGAGATGAAAGAATTGTGGGCCGTTGGGACACCAACTTATGATGTTTCATCAGATAAAATGTTTATCATGAAAGCTGCCATCATTTGGACCATTAGCGACTTCCCTGCCTATGGCATGCTTTCAGGATGGAGCACACACGGTCTGATGGGATGTCCGATATGCATGGAGAAATCAGGTGCCAACTGGCTCAGTTACAGCAAAAAAGGAAGTTACTTTGATTGTCACCGCAAGTTTCTCCCGGAAAGGCACCGATATCGAAAGGACAAGAAGTCTTTCATTAGAGGCAGAGCAGTACGAGAGAGCCCACCCCCGAGATTGACCGGTGAAGAAATTTATAACCGGGTTCGACGTTTTCCTACGGCTATGGAAGAGCCAAACCAAGAGCCATATGGGTATTGTGATACCCAAAGTGGACAAAGAGGAGCATATTCTGGGAGTTGCCTTATTGGAAAGACCTTCTCATCCGTCACAATTTAGATGTCATGCACACTGAGAAGAACGTCTTTGACAATATATTTAACACGGTGATGGATTTGAAAGGCAAAACTAAAGACGGTCTTGCAGCTAGGAAAGATATAACTATTTGGTGTGATAGACCCGAACTTTCTGTTGATCTAGAATATCAGGGCAAGGAAGTTCCAAAAGCAGTCTACCAGGTCACAGAACCACAAAAGGCAGCAATATTACAATGGCTTGCGTCTCAGAAGTTTCCAGATGGCTACTGCTCCAACTTGTCTAGATGCGTAGACATGAACAAAATTACCACGACGGCGAGCATGAAAACTCACGATGCTCATGTAATAATGCAAAGACTTCTACCAATTGCACTAAAAGAGATGCTCCCTGAACACGTATGGTCCTGCATTACTGAAATCAGTTTGTTGTTTCAATCGATATGTTCCAGCGTTTTGGATGCGGCATCCCTCCGGAGACTACAAGAGTCTGTTCCCATTCTGATGTGTAATCTGGAAAAAATAATGCCTCCATCGTTTTTCAATACAATGGAACATCTCATAATACATCTTCCGTATGAGGCTTTGACTGCTGGGCCCGTCTTCTATCGGTGGATGTACAGATTTGAAAGGTTAGTCACAATTTCATTTAAGAAAAGAATATTTATTTCACAATAACTGTTAACATGTGTATTATTGCATTATTGCAGATTTCTAGGAGAGCTGAAAAAGAAAGTGACCAACAAGGCACACGTTGAGGCTTCAATTTGTCAAGCGTATCTTCAACAAGAAATCTCAACGTTCTCGTCTTTTTACTTCGAGCTTGACGTCATCACCAGAAGGAAGAGACCTGCCCGGAACGATGACATTGGCGAGGATTTATATGAAAATGTAGTTTCCATCTTCAATTACCCAGGCAGAGGTAAAGGTGCTGCGACACAACGATACATCCTGGGTGGGGAATTACAAATTGCGCATACTTATATCCTCATGAATTGTCCAGAAATCTCACCGTTTTATCAGTAAGTTAAATCTGTAGTTATAATTGTAATACTTATAAATTAAATTTGTAGTTAATTTATAGTTTTTTTTATTTTTGACTTCACAGTGAATTCCGAGCTTCTTTATCAACCTTTCCTGAGAATGAAATTGATGCATTGGTGGACTCTGATTTTGTAAATTGGTACAAGTATCAGGTATATATATACACACATTAATTATATATATTATTAAGTAAGATTTTTCAATATTTACCTAATGTTATTATTATGTTTATATTTACAGATCAATAGTCGTGGGATTGTCGACCCTTTGTTAGTATCATTAGCGTGGGGCCCAAGTGCCAGTGCCAAAGTGTGGCGGCAATATGTGATAAACGGTTACACATATCACACAGCCGATTACGGACAGGGCCGACCAACAACGAACAACGGGTTATGTGTCCCGACCATCGGTTATGATAACTCGGAAACCAATTTTTTTGGTGTAGGTCCTGCAGGAGATTCTGGAACTTGAGATGCCTTCTGGTGTGCAAAAATTGACATGCGTTCTGTTTCGCTGCACATGGGTCGATCCCACACGTGGCGTGCGCAAAAATCTGAAGTATAATATGATTGACGTCAACCACTCTCGTGTGTACCCAAAAAATGAGCCTTTCATACTCGCCCAACAAGCAGCGCAGATTTATTATGCAGAATATCCTTCAACAAGGCGGACCCAAAATCCTTGGGTGTGTGCATGTCCTGTCCGTCCGAACAAAATTAAATCACAAACTCAACACAAGGACGTTGATCTAGATGCTTTTCAGCAACAATTTTTCCAACCCCCGCCTATTGTTGAGACGGTCAACTATAACGTCCAATTAAGTGATCCAAATGGCGGACGTGTTGAAGTCATGCCAGAAACGCACCTTCCGGACCTAACCATTCCATCTGAGCTCGAAATTGAGGAAATGTATGTAGCACAACAAAACGCTCAATATCAGGAAGAAGGTGAATGGATAGACGGTTCAGATACAGAAGAAGATACTGTATATGTAGAAAATGACGATTCTGATAGCGAATAATTGTGATGTTGTAATTTCAATTTTATTGACTTCTAATATTTTTGCTCTTTTCTTCATCATTATATTACTCCAACAATATTTGATTTTTTTTCTTCTTCATTATTATTTATGAACTAAAAATTACTCCATATTAATTCAACAACAACAAGTTTTCAAAACTTTAAAAATTCAAAACAAAAAATATTTATTTTAAATTCAAAAATTTTGAAAATTCAAAAATTAATTGAGACGGTCAACTATAACATCCAATTAAGTGATCCAATTGACGGACGTGTTGAAGTCATGCCAGAAACACACCTTTCAGAAACGCTCAATATCAGAAAGAAGGTGAATAGATAGACGGTTCAGATACAGATTGAAACCAGATAAATTGAAAGCAGTTTATTTAATACTTTACAGTCCACACTACAAATTTCCACAATATTCCATATTATAAATTCGAAAATTGATCCAATAATTTAAATACTTCGAAAATACAAAATTACAAAGAAAATTAAAGTCACGGTCATAGTCACGGCTCTGACCGTGACTAAAGCCTTCGTAAATGTCGCTGCAGGCCTGACGGTCAGAGCCGCCGCTGACCGGAATAGTCACGGTCAGGACCGTGACTATGACCGTGACTATTAACTATAAATTTTTGAAAATAGTCACGGTCATAGTCACGGTTCTGACCGTGACTATTCCGGTCAGCGGCGGCTCTGACCGTCAGGCCTGCAGCGACATTTACGAAGGCTTTAGTCACGGTCAGAGCCGTGACTATGACCGTGACTAAGCCCTTATATAAAAACAACACTTAGCGAATTTTTTCATTCCCACCACTCTCCCAACCCTAAAACTCCTTCTCCCTCTACTTCTCCTCTCATTCCGGAAATCTCCACCGCTCTCCTCCGCCGCCCTCCACCGCCGCCTTCCACCATCAGTCGCCACCGGCCGCCGCCGCCGCTCTCCGTTAGCTACCTCCGTCGTTCTTCGCCGTCCTTTTCATCAAGGTTATGTGTTCTAAATTTAAATGACTTTTCATTCTTATTTTTAGTATTTGATTTTTATTCCAAAAATGCATGTTATTATAAGTATGTTCCATTATTAAAGTGCATGCTCTTTCGTTGAAATATACTCAAATGCATGATTATATACATGATATTTATTCGAATTATAATGTTCTTTAATATTCGAAATATAATTTTCGAAATCCATGTTTAATATCAAATTTTAATATGACATGTTTAATAGTATATATTCGAAATATAATTTTCGAATACATGTTTAATACATTTCGAAATAAATTCCAAGAAATACATGTTCTTTAGTTGGTATACATGTTTAATATAATTTAGTTTGTTAGATGTTTTATATGTTTAATATAACTTGTTTTAGTTTATATGTTTCATATGCATGATTTATATGTTTTGTATGCATGATTATTATGTTTAAATGATTTAGATTATTATATGTGTAATATATGTTCATATGCATGATTAATAATATTTAATATATATGATTAGTGTTTGATATGCATGCCTCTCTATGGTTATACAATGTTTATGTTTTTCATGCTTTAACCCGAAATATTTAAAAAAAATTGCCCCCTCATGTTAAGCTTTCACAAACTTAACATGTTTAATTATAATTTTACAAATTTTTATAAACAATTTTTATAAAAAGTATACAAATTATTTTATAAACAGTTTTTTTAATTTTACAAATTTTTATAAACAGTTTCTATAAACAGTTTTTATAAACAGTTTTTATAAATATAAAAAGTAAAAATTGGATACGAACTGTTTTTATACTTATTTAAAAAAGAACAAAACAGTTTTTTTAAATCTGGATATAAGCAGTTTAAAAAAACTGTTTTTTAAAAACTGGATATTAAAAACTAATTTTTTATAAAACAGTTTTTATAGCAAAATGGTAAATAAAAATTTGGTTTACTTAAAAACTGTTATTGTAATTTAATTAAAAACTGTTATTCTATAAACAGTTTTTATAAACAGTTTTTATAAAAACAGTTTTTATATAAACTGCAGTTTTTATAAAAACTGTTTAAAATGAAAATTTGGTTTACTTAAAAACTGTTATTGTAATTTAATTAAAAACTTTTTTTTATAAACTGTTTTTTATTTAAAAGTATACTGTTTTTAAAAACTGTTATATAAAAACAGTTTTTAAAAACTGTCTTTATAAAAACTGTTATTTAAAAACTGTTATATAAAAACTCTTTTATATAAAAACTGTTTTAATAAAAACTGTTTTTATAAAAACTGTTTTATTAAACAGATTATTGTAAAAAATAGTTTTTTGTAAAAACTGATTTAACAAACTGTTTTAAATTTATTTTAAACTGATATATCTAAAACATAAAAAAATGATCTCCTCTCATGTAAACTTTGCAAAAAGTTTAACATGTTACCTCAAAGAGCAATTTATTTCCAAATTATAGAAGAACTTATTATGAAAAAAATATGGACCCCTCATATTAAACTAATAGATAGTTTAATATGCTATACACATTTTCAATTGATAATACTTGTATAAATTTTTATAGTGAAAAATAATAAAAATACCCCAAACTTTGAAAAGGTGTGAGGTAAGCACCCCAAACTTGCATAAGTAATTTAAACACCCCAAACTTTATATAAAGTTTGGGATATTTAAATTACATATGCATGTTTGTGGTGTTCATGTCACACCCCTTCAAAGTTTGGGGTATTTTTATTATTTTTCCCTATAAAAATTTAATAAACTGTGTATAAGTTTAATATGAGTGGTTCAATAATTTCTAATAAACTCATCCTATAATTTATCAATGAGTTGACCCAGTCGATCGAAGAATCGATCAGTTGGAGCTTGTCAATGAGCTGACCTAGTCAATTCTTAGATAAGCTCCAATCTGTCGATTCTTCTGGCTACGGCTTGAGTCATCGATGGACTCTCCCAAACGCATGTACTGACATTATGTCGCTACATGTGATGTAGCCCATCCATGGTTCAAGGCGTAGCCCGAAGAATCGTCAGGATGGAGTTTATCAATGAATCGACTGGGTCAACTCATTGATGAGCTCCAACCGGTTGATTCTTCGGTCGACTGTGTCAACTCATTAATAATTATAGGAGTTGTTTATTATCAATTATTGGACCCCCCATATTAAACTTATACACATTTTAATATGTTATACACATTTTCAATTGATAATACTAAGTAAAAATTTAATCTTCTATTACAATCACACTAACAAAAAACAAAATAAATTAATGTATTTTAGATGACTGATGAACAATCGACATCGGCCGCCCAGCCTAACTTTGCGCCCATGACTGAAGCCGAGCGCAACAATGAAAGAGCTGTTTGGGTGACCCCACTCGAAGTTGCTTCGTAAGTAGTTATGAACAAACCATAAGTCAATTAATTTTATATACTGTCAAATAATCTAACCAAATCTCATTTAAATAAATACTCTTAATTTTTTAAAGTGACAAAGCAGTGTTTGAAGGCATAAAAAACATAATAGGAGGACACTTTCTTGGCAATTGGGCCTCCTACTCCGAGGTTGATCCCAAGGTCCGCGAACTATGGTGGAACCTATTTAAGGTAAAAATAAATGAATAAAGTGTAGTAGTGTAATATATAAACAAATGATTAATTAATCCAATTTTTTAATAAAGGGTCGCTATCGCTGGACTCACGCAAACGATGCTGATATTCTTAGAGCCTACAATGCTAGAATTTCAACCTGGCTTCGGCCCACTTTTAAGCGTGCCCGAAACCGTGGGAAAAAGCCTAAATGGGTTTCGGATGAAGTGTGGACCAACCTTTGTCGCCATTGGTCTTCAGATCCGAAATTCTTGGCCAGAAGTGAATCCGGTAAGAAAAACCGGATGTCCGAGAAGGCCTTGGAGACGCAGTGGCATGGGGGTCGCAAATCCCAGAATGCCCATAAAGAAACTCTTGTAAGTGTTATTCAAAAAACCTTACACCATTACGACCTTTGATTATACAAAATTTTCTTAAGCCTTTTTCACACCATGTAGGCTGGTCCTGAGAAGAAGAAGGTTAATATTCTCAGCCTCGTCAAGCATTGCTGGACAAAGCACGGCGAGGAGTCTGAAGCCAATCTGCCACCCCGCCTCGCTGACTTTGAAGTATATAACATCATATTTTGTTATTTAGTAACATTTCAAATCAAAGATGTAATATTTATTTTTTTTTTAAATGTAGTTGAAGTACAATGAATCCATTGAAAGGCAGCGTGCGGAGCGAGGCTTGACCCAGGAGGACGAGCTCGATTCCGATGTGGATGATGAGGCGGCCATTGAGGCGGCCGGGGTTTACAAGGGTCGGGTTCCGTGCTTGGGGGCTGAGGGGCAACGGATTTTGTATGATCGAAGCTCCGGCGCTTCCTCTTCTCGGTCAAGGCGGGGAGAAGACTCTCGTATGGCCCAAATGCAGCGTGAACTGGCGGAGCACGAACGGCGATGGGAGGAGCAACGGAAAAGAGAGGAAGAAACAAAAGCCCGACTGGAGGAGATGGAACGGTTCATGCGTGCCGGATTCCAGCCTCCGCAACAGCCTTTTCCTCCCCCGTATGTATTCCACCCTGAGCAAACTCCTCAAGTCGCGCACATGGGCGGTATGGGTTTTTTCCCCAACTCCGGATACGGTGGCATGCCTATGATCTCCCCGAATTTCGGATCGATGTCCTTTGATTTTGCGAGGTCATCCGGAGGAGGTAGTGGTACACCAAGCCATGGACCCCGAGGAGGACCCCGAGGAGCACCCCGAGGAGGAACCCGACCTGACCCCGAAGACCCCCCTGTGAACCCAGATGAGTTTCTTGTTGTTGATGATGAAGA